ATTAAAATATCAGAGCAGAAATTATAATTTTCTATTTTTATTTAATTTTTAGTAATTATTTTTACTCAAAAATAGAGATTTTTCATGTTAATTCATTTAGATGACAAAAAAAATCCTCTATCATTAAGAAAATTATTGGAGGTTCACCTCAATTAGAGGACCTCTAGGAAAAGTTCATAATTTTTTGAGTTTTATTGTAATTATTTTAATTATTTGCTAATTTTGATGGCTAATTAAATAGAAAATATAATTTGATCTTAAAGATTCTTTTTATATTTTTTTAAGTTCCTTTGAGTTTGAAGTACTCAGAGAAATAATTTTTACTTTTTTGTGATTTTTATTTTATTTATTGTAATTATTTTCATGCAAAATTAAAGAAAATATATTTTTGGCATTTAAGAATACATAACTATATTAAAAAAATTAAGAAAATATTTTAAGTGGTTCCAAGTAATCAAGGAATATTTTGTGATATTTTGGTGCATTTTCTTATTTTTGTGATTTTAAATTATTTTAAATTATTTTAAATTTAAAAATAGCTCAAAAATGAAATTTTTATTTTAACATCAATTTTATTTTTCTTGAGTAGCCCTAGTCACAATGATCACTCTAAACCACTTTTCATAATTTTTTGAAGTATATTTTATTTATTATAATTATTTTAGTGTAAAAATCTCACTCATTTTGAAAAATAGACTTTGATTCCTTAGGCAAATCAAATAGACTTCAAATTTTTAAAGAGACTTAATATGTTTATTATCTTCTATGTAGACCAATTTTTGTGATTTTTTGAGTTATATTTTATTTTATTATTTTTCTATTGGTTTTAATGATTTAATTACATAAGATAATATTATTAATTATTTAAACCCATTTTATAATTTTCCTAAGGTCCTCTAACCACACTGAACATACCAATGCAAATCCCATATTTTTCTGATTTAAATTTAAATTTTTTATGAATTATTTAATTAAAATAAAGCTACCTAACAAGGAAAATTGGGGCTTTTAATCCTAGGGGTGTCCTCTGACTTTGAAAATAACCAGAGAACACTCATAAGCACATGAAGATTAAGCCGTCCAAATTTTATGCCATGATGACCAATATTTAATTATTCAGGATTAAAATAAGCTCTGAAGAATTTGATTAATTAAAAATAAAATACATCAAAAATAATTTTAATCTTTACTTCATAATATTCTCCTTTATTCATTGAACACAGTGATATTTTTATTTATTTTATGAATTTTCTACACCAAGTTATGACTATTCAAAGTTTTTGAATTATTTTAAATCAAAAAGCTTTATTTTCCTACTTATCCATGCGGCGGCCACACAATCCTCGACAACTCCAAACTTTCCACGTATTGCACTTTGTTTTGACGCTGTCATCTGCGTCTGCTGTCATGTATACCACTATTTATGAACCGCTGCCCCGTCCAACAAGATCCAAGTCGTCCATCCAATACACTCACGATGGGACGACTCATGGTCATCGTCCCTACTGTTCTAAACCGAGAACCATTCATTTTCTAACCCTAATTTCTCGCTCGATTCTCAATCAAATCACACGGGATTTATTCTTACACCTTCATCTTGTCAAGGCGAACCTATCTATGCGGTCACATGCATATAAAATACAACTTTACTTCACAATTGATAAAATCAAGCCAATATTTAGGGATTTTGAGTTATACATTGGCCCTAGAGGTGAGGCCTCAATTGGGTGGTTTGAGAAGCTTCCTTGGAGTCCCATGAATGTGCTCGAAGCGTCACCTTCCTTTGGGATGGATTCTTTGTATGAACTCGATCAGAAGGTGGCGCGGCTTTGGTCTAGGTCTGATGCAGAGGGCTCAAAGGATGGGACTTTTGCTTGAGAACTTCTCCTTATGCTCTGGGGAAGCTCAGAAGAAAATCAATTTGGAGATTGGTGGAGGTTTATGGCATGACAAAAAAATGCCCTGGATTTCAAAGATGAAATTGGGCTTGGACAGTGGGGATGAGTGACTGAAGACAACAGGATTGAACTCAGGGAAGTTAGGAGGAGCTCTGGAAAGAATTCAACATAGTTTCCCTAAGGAATTGGATCATCTTCAAGTTTGGCCGTGGAGGGGGATATTTATAGAGTAGGTGAAAGGGAAGGCCTCAGGCCCTCATTGGCTGGTGGAAGTAAGCTTAGGTGGAGGGGAATTCAACACATCTAGCCAATGGGTGAGAGCCACAAGGGATGGGTCAAATTTTAGAGTTTAAACCATGGTGGTCCTCTCACTTTTGAGTTTTCCGACCACTAGGGTGGCTGGCCAGACCAAGGTCGGTGGCTAGCTAGCTTAGGGAGGTCAGGGGAAGTTTAATTGTGATAAGCTTGGGGGTTTGATGGTTGATTTCATGGGTAAGTGGGTTTAGCCAAATTAGGAGGATGGAGGGAACCTTGGTCCATGTCACCAATTCAAGGTCTTAGGTGATGTGATTAACATCTTAGGAGGCTAACCAAGGCAGGAAAATATTAAACATGGGTTAATTTCAATGGCTTGGGTTAATTTGGATCTTATGCTCAAAATTAGGGTTCACGCTAAAAGTTGGATTTGGGCTTGGCTTGGGCTTGGATCCAGATCAATTGAAGGCTTTGGTCTAGAAAATGTCATGAGGAATTTAGGAAACAAGTTTTGGGAAATTGAGTTGATTGCAAGGCTTGGGGTCCGTTTGGGGCAGCTTAATTGGTGCGGCGACATTTTGAAAACACATCTGGATTATTTGGGTAAATTGCGTTTTGGTAGCTTATGCGTTTTGAAAACACTAAAAAGAGGGTTTTCACAACACACCTATTTAGGTGCGGTGGCAGCTTTCTGACAGCGATCTGGCTTTTCCAAAAAAATAAAAATTTCTAATTGCCACCACACCTATCTTATCAGCAGATTATTTTTAATCAGCTTATTAGCATATTATTCAATAAGCTGTAGCTGCGCCAAACATACTCATTTGAGACTACTCGTCTACTCGCCACAACCCCAATCGGGCTGATAAAAGCATTACCAAGCACGATTCGGCGGAAGTGATAATTAAGGGAGGATGTTATGAGAATAATATTTTAATGTCCTCTCAAAAAAAAAAAAAAAAAAAAAAAAAAAACAAAACAAAAACCAAAATGTTGGAAAGAATATCTTTTAGGGCATCGATATAATAATAGTATTTTTTATAATACTGTAAAGTGTGAATCCAAACTCTTGTTAATGAGAATGTTTTACGCACCGTTTGGCGGCGTGGTGCCCGACAGCTGGCCGTCTGGACGTAATATTTTTTCCTTGTTAGTAAGTGTGGGTGGAGCAACACTGAGGGTACTAAATGCCCATGCCCCCGCTAACCCCCGACCCAATAAATTAAATTTAATAAAAAAATGAAGTAATGGCCATATATACATAATGATTTTCGGACCTCAAAAAAATCAAATTAATACACTTGAAATCAGAAATTGTTTCACATGGTAATCTAAATTCTCAAGAGGTTCAATTGTGTTTTTCAATTTAAGAAATAGTACTTGTACGTTGTTATTTTTGTATGTGGGGGTTAAAGGGAACGATAAAATGCATATATATTTACATGTCTAATACCCAAACTCTATGTTTACATTTATACCACCCAAATCTTTCACTTCAAAAGTACCACTATTTAAAATTTTAGAAGGAAGTACGGTAACATATAGGTTAAAATTAAAGTTTAGGGATTAGATATGTAAATACATAGGAATCGAGTGGTATAAATGTAAAACATCATAATCCATGAATAAACAAGGAACAAGGCTAATTCAACATTTTTGCATTTCTTTATTATTTTTTTTCATTTTTTATACTTTAGTTTTGCATACTTCTAAAGTAGTTTTGTACTAAATAAACATGCTTTATTTATTTATTTATTTTTTTGAGAAATTTGAGTGAATTTAAGTATTTTTAAGTTAATAATATAAAACATATATAATTTTAAATTATTTTAATCTTATTTTATTTATATTAAATTACATTCTTAATTATATTTTAGATTGGGGTTTAATTCAAAATGGAGTTTTAACGGAGCATCTTAATGAACATGTTCATAAATTTTAAATGAAAGTGCTTTTTATTTATTTCTTAATTAGTTTTATGATCATTTTAGTTGATAATATAAATAATAATTTAATTTTAAACTAATTTTTAATAATATTTTATTTAAGTTTAATTATATTATTAGTTATAATTGTATTGAATTCTTAACTCACATTTATTTTGTGTACTATAATATTAATAAAGTAATTAATTAATATTTCTAAGACATTTTAAAATATAGGGTTATTAAACAATTTTATAAATAAAAATGTCTACCATTTACATTTAAATAAATTGATAAATCTTAAGCATTCGAGTTTAAAAATATTAAAGAATTTTTATGTTATAATATCTAATAAAATAATTATAAAATTCTTAATAAAATAATTATATAAGACTTTCAAATAATATTATTGTTTTTTATTTTCTTGCCCCCAAAATTATATGAACTTTATATTAAAAAAAAATAAAATCTAAAATATTAGTTACAAGTCTTGATAAATAAGATTGAAGCTATTTTTAAAATTATTAATATGTGCACCCTATTAAAAAAATTTCTGGCCGAGACGACACGAAATCGAAAAAAGACCAAACTTGTTCTTATGGACACATTTAAATGGTCAAGTTAAATCATCAAATCAGAGGAAAAACAAATTTTTTGACCGTTGGACTCAAACTAAAATAAACAAGCCAATGCTCAATGAATGGAAACCTCTTGCATTACATCAAAGAGTGAAATACTTGGTAAGAACATGAACTAACATGAATTACAGCTCCTCTTTTAGCACACAGAATAGCTAAAAAGGTTGGCTGTATAATTAAAAAAAAAATGGCATTTACATACATTGCACACAATTCTTATGAACTTACATATCTCACACCTAAACTTACATATCTTGCACCTAAACTTTCATATTTACGCACAAACCCCTCAAATCTTTAATATCACATAAAAAAATAGCACTCCTATATTTTTTTTACAGCATCAAAATGCTATGTAACCATGAAAGTTTAGTTGTGAGATATGTAAATACATGAGAATTGTATACAAATGTATATTTTCCTAAAAAGGGCCAAACTTTCAGTACAATGGTTAGAAACAAATTGAAAAATCCCAACAATCTGAATTCTACCCATCACCCTTTCAAAAACAAAACAAAAACTTGAAAAAAAAAATAAAAAAGCTAAAAGATCAGTGAATCTGTATCTTCTCCAATAGCTCCAGAAGAGCAGCAGCCTTACGCTTTGCTCTATCTGTGCCACTCTTCTCCACCTCTTTAAGAGGAACAACAGCACCCATCCTCCCCAAACAAGCAAGGTTCTCCCTGTTCTCCTGGCAAATCCCAAGCAGCACTGCCACCGCATTCTCCTTGTTTCGCTCCTTCCCTGTACTCACAAAACCGACCAGAATCGATACCGCATTCGCCTTCTTTACAGCTTCCTTCCCCTCTTCATGGCTGACAAGAAGAGATAAAAGTGTCAGCGCTTCATCCACCATGAATCCACTTTCAGAATCCTTAAGCATCAGAAGTAATGGTCCAATGATCCCTTCTCGTATCGCCCTCCCCTTGTTTCCTCGATAAATACACAGATTGAACAAGGCAGAAGCAGCATCCTTCTTCCCCCTCAGGCTACCAGTCTCAAGCAGCTTTATCAGCGCTTCCATGGCTCCAGGCACCGCACCAATGCTTATCTTGTTCTCATCAATCAGTGATAAACTAAATATTGCAGCTGCCGCATTCTCTCTAGCTTCCATGTTTCCACATTTGAGAACTTCAATAATTGGATTAATGGCTCCTGCAAGGATTATAACTTCTTTGTTCTGATCATAGATGGAGAGGTTGTGAAGGGATGTTACAGCATGTTCCTGAATTTTCTGGTCATTTGAGCTTAGGAGACTCACAAGAGCTGGAATTGCTCCAGCTTTTGATAACATTGTCCTGTTCTTCGTGCTACATTTCGTGAGGAGGCGGATTTCAGCTGCAGAGGATTTTTGATCCTCCGGTGATGGACTTGTGAGTTTAGAAACTAAGGCATGAATTGAAGAACCTTCTCCGGTGAGTCCGCTGAGGGAATGATTATTTTTTGTCGTGCTGATGGATTGGGCCGGTTGTTCAATCGTGTTAGCTTCGCACCATTGCATGATTAGGCTTCGCAGGACGAAGTTAGGAGTCAAAGTTAGGTTTTGTAGCTTCTGCTGAGTTTTGGGGCATGTTCTGTTGCCACAATTAACCCACCTCTGAATAGAAGAGCGCTCATATGTCTGCAAAATTTGTTTACTAATAGTCAACCTTGCAATTGCATGAAAAGTTCTGAATTGTTAATTAATGTGGTGGTAAGAGAATTCATGTGAAGCAAAATGGAAACAAGGAACGCCAATTTTGCTTTAGATTTGCTCGAGTTTTAAGTCAATTCAAAGTTAACTCGATTAATTTTGAACTGAGTTACAAGTTCGTAACTCAACTCACATATATTGCACACAATTCTTATATATTTAAATATCTCACACCTAAACTGTCTTATTTACACACATAACACTCACATCTTTAATATCACATAAAAAATGACATTATTACCACTTTTAAAAGTGAAATAAACACTTTCACGCATAGCCTTAAAAGCACCAAAAAGTGCCATGTATGTAAATAAGAAATGCGTGCATTTTTCAACTCCATTTCGAACAAAACATAACTCGATTGAAATGGGATCCAAAATGCCAATTATCGCAGGCATTTGGGTTCACAACAAGTGCTTTTAGTAGTTAAGTTGTATGAAAAATAACTAATTATAGAGATTTGAACCACTTCTAACACACCTATACCTTATTTTTTACTAAAACATGATTGATTCAAGTCAACTCGAGCTAATTTAAGGTTGACGAACTAACTCAAATCTAAATATATAAAGATTTTGAGTCCAATTCGAGTCATCCTAAACACATTAATTTCAAATTCTAGTCAAATCCAACAGGCTCAAACTGAGTCAACACACCAACCATAACATAAACACAAGGCCAAATGATGAAGTTATAAAAGATACCTGGCCTGTCGAAACAATAACAGGATCTCTCATGAGTTCTAGAGAAATAGGGCACAGAAAATCCTCCGGAATCACAGGAGAATCAGATTCACTCTCTTCTTCCATGCTCCTTCCGGATTCCCTTGACCTGTTCTCAGCTTTTAAATTACCAGAAAGATCAACAAAACCAGATTTTTTAAGTCTTTCAATCAGATTTGGAGCCATTTTCTCAGCAAAATACTGAGATTTACCGCTGACTTTAGCAACAATTATAACTATGTGTAACAAATCCGGATCAATATAGCTCTCAGGCTCATATTTTACTTCTTCCAACTTAAATTGAGATTGCCTTTTAAGAGCTTTTGCATTTAAGGATGATAACAAGGTAAACATTTCCTGAAATATCAGCAGATTTACAGATCCAACCTTCTCAGTTTCTCTTCGAAGCTGTGCACGCACCAATTCAGCCTAGAGAAAAAGCATCAAAAGCAGGCTCCATAAGCTGAAGATTTTATAATTTGTAGGATAAAAAGGGAGTAAATGAAATAAAAATAATATGTGATTATACCTCCTCCTGGACTTCATCAGGTATTTTGAAATACTCGTAGGGTATGTTCCCCAAGGCCTTCTCCAGCTGCCATGCAACATACTGGTATTGGATTGTCATGTTTTTGCAGTTTGATTCCTTTATAAAACAGTCATTAGGCTAAATCAGTATCATTTTCAGTGGCATGTAAAAAATATTATATATGTCAATTAGAAATTCTGTTGCTTGAACACTTTAGGATAGAATTAATTATAGTGATGTAAATTATTTAAGAAAATAAAAAGATTTGCTTAATCCAGAATTCCAGATTCATGCATTACAGTAATCTCATTCAAACTTCAAAGAAAATAGCATAATTATTTATTATCACCAAAAAAAAGAGAAAAACAGAGCATAAACCCCAATGAAAAAAAAAAACTGAAATTTCTCCAAGGAAGAAGCTTAAGCTTTTAAAAATCAAATTTTTTATCCTGAAGAAAGGTGAAAGAAGATCTTTTCTCCAAGTGTAAGAATGAAGCAGCGGAACAAGCAATATAACAAACACATAATATGCATTAACTTAACAACCCACAGGTTCTATCTCGGTTTCAAAACTCACCACAGCTGAAATCTCGCCGGAACTCTTCCCTCTGTGAAGAATAAAGAACCTCTTCACCGCCTTTAGCGCAATAACCACTTCCGAAAGGCACGACCATGGCACCTTCGCCGCCGGCGAAGAGGACGAAATTGCCTCGCCGCCATTCCGCACGGCAAAATCTCGAATTTCTTCGATCAGGTGAACAAGAAGAGAGACCTTGCGTGAGAGGCGGACTGATTCTGCAGCCATCAATTCCGCGATGCTTTCGTCGGCGGCCATGGCAGCGAGCTCGCGCGCGAGGGTTAGAAGCACGTCGGCAGTGCGCGCGGCCGCTGGTTCTGATGCCATGGAATGCGAGCTGGGGCTTCGGAGAGAAGAAGAGCATAGATAAAAGAGGAGTAATGCCGCCGGAAGGAGGAAGAAGAAGAAGAAGAATGGGTAGAGAGATTCTTGCGAAAAGAGTGAAATCGCAAATAAACAAAGCTAAACGACGTTGTCTTCCAGCTAGCACCACAAGAGGAAGTCAAAAGAGCATTTTTTTGGAGGGAAAGTGTCAAAGGAACTTCCTTTTTTTGTCTCTCTCCTTTAATTTTAAGTTTAGCCTTAATGATAATTATATTATAAATTAATTACTACATTTTTAAACAAATCTCAATCTCTTAATTGAAGAGAAGCTGAGTAATTCTTCTACAATGGAGGACTTCCTTTAGAAACCAATTTGTTGATCCCCACACTTAGTAAAACTTGTTGTAGCAAAGATTTTAAATTAAACTATTATTAATATAATTTTTGTTTAATAGATGTTGTTAAAATAATTAAGAATAGATGAAATTGTGTCTGTATGGAATGATTTTTAGTCCTATGTGATAGAAATTACATTTTTAGTCTTATTGATCACAACACCTTGTAAAATTTGTTAGAGCAAAAAATTTTAATTAGACTATTATTAATATAAATTTATTTCAATAGATGTTGTTAAATTGTGTCAACATGGCATGATTTTTAGTCATATGTGGTGGAAAAATTACTTGTTACCAGACCTAATAAGTTTGAACTTAGCAGAGGAGGAACATGAGCTCATTATAAAAATCCATGGCCTTTTGGAAACTAGTATGTATTCATCTTTTGTGATATTGTCTTTTATCTTTATCAAATCCGCACGTATGAATGTGAATGCAGATAAAAATATTATTGACGTGTCATCAACAAATTTTTATCAAATATGAATCTCATTACTTTTGTTCTATAAGAAAATCTGCCAAATTTAAATTCAAGATTATCTGGGTCACGATTATAGTTTTATTCAATTTTAAACTATATTAAGTGAATATCTATATTAAACTATTCACTTAATAGAGTTTAATATTATTTTATTCTATTTTTTTATTAATAATTGTAATTAATTATAAATCTTTGTAACCTTGTAGTCAATTAAATTATTTTAAATAATATTCATCATATATATATATATATATATATATATATATATATGTAAATACACAGGAATTGATTCATAATCAGCTTGTTTATATATCATGCGCAAAAAAAAAATTTATTTGTGTTTGGCTTGTTCTTTTAGCAGACGAATTGAACACGACGTACTTAACGAGTTGAACACAGGTTGTCTAGCAGTTTTAATAGCTCTAGCCTAAGGAGGTGACAACCAGAGGTAGACGAAGATAGAGGCAACGGTGGGCAGAGGTGGAGGTTGATGGCTGATCGAGTCAATGATGGGTAAGATCAGCCTTGCTGAGCCTCAGAATAGAATACTGGAGGCAGAAGTGATCTGACGGATGGCAGACAACCACATCAACAATCCGTGGGGCACGCCATCCACATGGTTTCATGCATATTGCATCGCATGACTATATGATTATGCGAAATAGGACAACCTGCATGGGATTTGTGGGAAAACTTGAATTTTAACATTTTTTGGACAATTTTGTGGCCTTTTGAGCCTGTAAAATGGTAAAAAAATAGAAGTCTCCCTGCCGCCTGTTATGTTATCAACAGAGCTCTCTTTTGCATTGTTCTTGCCCACCTCAGAGTCCCGTTCTATTTTTGTGTGATCAATAGAGCTCCCTTTTGCCAATTAATATGGGTCTCTCAACCTATTGTTGTGTCATCAATGAAGCTCCCTTAGCTTGCAAACTGGAGTCTCTTGGTATGTTATTGTGCCATCAATAGAGCTCCCTTAGCTTGCTAACTAGAGTCTCTTGGCCTATTGTTGGGTCGTCGACGAAACTCTCTTTTGCATTTTTGTCACACACACCCAAAGTAAATTTTCTATGTTGCTGATGCATTTTCTAAAGAAAATTTTTTGTGCTATTATTGCTTTTTCCAGATGAGATTATTCATGCTTCAAGATGCCAACATCTAGGTAATCTCATCTGCTTAAAAATCAAAGGATGTATCATAATTCTAAGGAGGAGATGTCAATACTTTTTGAAAATGAGTTGACCTTTTATTTGAAGGGGCGAAAGATTGTGCTTAAAAAGATCAATCACATCCATTGTGAGTACAAGAAGACGAATAACTCCTGTGCAATAAATATATAGTCATTGGCATGTAAATTAGTAAAGTTTAGGAACAAAAATATCGATCACATCCATCTGTGCCGGAACGCCTTGATGTTAAAGTGAACTAACTCACTAAAGTCAGCAGGGCTAGCTGATGTCGACGGATTTTTGGGTCCAATTAATTCAACACTTTAGACTTGTAAGTCTAAGATTGGCCAATGGACACATTTCCAATTTGTATAGTCTATTGAATTCCCACATAATACTCTTTTCTTTCTCCATATTCATAAATTATTAATCAACAGGAGGTTAGTCATACAGTCTACATTTGACGAATTAAAACTGAAGTACAATCACCATCCTCTAGTACAATCATTGAACACCTTGAGATAAGGTAGTTAGATATGATTCAACCTTGATCATTCCTTTCTACAAGTCAAGTTGATGATTAATCGAAAGTTGGAGCACGCCCCATGCGACGTCATCACATTGAGATCAAGTCATGCTTCTAGTCATATTTACGGCTATTGATATAGATTAATGCTTTGGGTTAGTAATTTTGAGTTGAAATAAATCCCTTAACTCAGTCTAACTCATTAGACATAGAAGCCATATCTTTCCTTTCTCTGGTTTGTCAGCCTAGGGGTTAACGCCTTAGCTCTGTAAATCTTGGATTGGTCTTAGTACAACCATTACACACAACAAAGTTGGGATTGTTGAGCCTATCTAGTGTAGACTATAGCTGGCATTAGATCTTCATTTATAGGGATTATGCCCTGACGCGGCCACTGTACTGAGCAACTTAGTTCATTGCTTCTACTGTATTTTCGAGTATGGTAAAACAATGTCTCAACTAATTTAAGTTTAAAACAAACAATCTTTCTTCACTCATTAGACACAAAATGATAAATTAACCTAAGTAAATAAAAATAAATCAAATCAATACAATACACAAATGCTCCCCCTTCTCGGTTCATTGACCTTAATCCCGTCAAAGGATTTGACAAGTTAATATCTTGACTTTGTAAACTCATTAGAGTATGTCCAGCTCTCGAATATATTCAATTCACACCACAGAATAACCCTCAGAAGCTTAAAGCCCAATGGTCCATTTCTCAGACAATCATGTCAAAACATAAGGTAGGTGTCAGTCATTGAATTGTTTGTCATAAACTGACCGTCTGGCTTGCCTTCAGTTTAGATCCTCATATCGTCTATCTTGATCAAGTCACCACTGTGCACCTACAAGGTTGAGAATAAGTGCTTTCACCCTCTTTCCTAATGGGTCCAGGCACAATACAAATTCACAGTACACCGAAAACTCAAAGTCCCCAGCAAAACTAAATCAAATCATCCAAATCTTCCTCTCTGACTAATTATCACGATGAACCATATGCTCTAGTGATGTCCTTTTTGATTTAGTCTTTCCATCTATCTTCTATATTGGACATTAGTCCTTGCGCTTTCCTTCCTAGTGCAGACACTTCTTTCAGTTTTCTAACTAGTTATCTAAATGAATGATCTGCGCTAGCGCTGTCCTTTCTGATCAAGTTAAGGTTCGTTCGGGATAGCAATGATTTTGAGCGAAATTTAAAAGGCGAGAGGATGTTTGCGATGGTTTTGGGCAAAAAGTAAGATCGGGAGAGGTGCAGAGAGGACAAATAAAATTTAGATGTGCGAGATGAGTGTATTATGTCATTTGTGTCAGAATTTTGTCTAATTTCCGTCAAACTTAGTTCGATGCTAACAAGTAAAGTTTTTGCATTGATTTGTTAGATGCAATTTTGATGCAAAATCTATCGCAACTCCAATTGAAATTTTGTCATTTTTAGAATACTTTTTCCATCAAATTTTTGAATGCAAATTGGACGCAAAAATCTGCCTCAAATATCTAAATTTATTATTCGCCGCTTAACAGTCACAAATCTAACGCTAATATTTGCTTAAAAAAAGCCGACATAAATTCAGATGTTAATAACAGTTTCTTCTATAGTGCCAGTAGTCGATCTTTGACAGTGACAAGTAGTGATTGCCGACAACAGTCGCTAGGGGCTAACAGTGGTCAAATGCTATGGAGGCTGGTGGTTATTCGTTGGGTCTTCAAAATATGTGTTAGATGTAACAATCTTATTTGGAATACAACAATTGTACATAAGGGTTTCCAGTGACCGATGGTCAGTGGCTGCAAGCAATGACAACCGAAGGTGGTAGATGGGCGGTGACCGACAGTGGTCGGCAGCTATGAAGACCAATGGGTTTCGCAAGTCTTTAATACAAGTGTTAGACACAATAGTCATATTTGGAATACAACAATTGCAAACAGGGGTAGATGGTAGCTGGTGGCCGGTAGTGGAAGTTGTGACAGCTAGTGGTGGCTGACGGTGACTAATTGTCGATGGTAGATGGTGGTAGGCAGCTACGAAGACCAGTGGTTATCGCTGAATCTTCTATCCATAATAGATAATGAAATTCCTTTGCTTCTCTTCCTCTTCTACTCCTTTCTTGTAAGTACAAGGAGAGGTTATATTTATAGGCTGTTGGGGATGAACATTTTGATCTTTTGACGAATAACTTCCCCAACCTACTAATTGAACGATCTATATTGATCCACTTAAGCGTGGAGATTTTTTAATGATTTGAGGGTATCAAAATTGAGTAATCTTAGGATCATGTGATTCCTCTCACCGAGACGCTCGATTTATGTCAAATTTGGAGTTCATCTGATTATTCAACTAATAATCCAAAATCTCCCGTGGTCTTGATTGGAGTCGGAATTGACCAATTTTAAAATCATTGGGTTCTACTTGTTGAGATAGTTTATGTGACTATAAACTTGCTAAAATCGATGCCCGAATGATTTTGAATTTGGATTTGGAAGACTCCTCAGCAAAAATGCATCGAAAGTCATGTTTTATAAAAATATGTGGATGAAGCATTAATAATCTTAGGTGTAATATTCAAATTAAGAATTTATACAATAAATTATAAACTTCAACTTAAATAAATAAAATATGAATTGATATACT